TATTCCACTGTCCAAGTTCATTAACATACCACACAGCATACACTACATCTCGGGAAAAGCAGTTTCGGCTGTCTGGTAAATAGTGCAGTTGTATTCCAGAAGATCGGACCCTTGGCTAAATGTATATTTTAATACAGCTACGTCACTGATAAAATTCGAACAGTGTGTAAGCTTCTCATATCTGAGTTAGGACTCCAAGGAAGCAAGCCCCTTTGCATTCCTCTTCCTTTGGTTCTTCTCACACCCGCCCCCACCTTTTCAGTAAGTTATCGTTCTGTCTCTCCTGCAGGACTGTCCTCCAAATCGGCCCTCGTGCTCAGAACTATCATGATTCTAATCCTCTTAGCTTCCATCCCCCTCTCAGTCCTCCCCCCACAGGTGACTGCGGAGGCCATCAGACTGAGTTCACGCTCAGCCCCGCTCTGCATGCCCACGTAGCGGCCTCAGCTTCCTGATCTGTCAAACTGAAATAGAGCAACACCGGCCCAGACCGTGAGGGGTGGGAGAGCGCCCCTAAAGCCACAGTGAGTTCTGAAGATGGCACACACATCATCGCAGCACATGCCAGCCCTTGGCCAAATAATCCAGTTTATTCTGGGGCTTCCAGGGAGTCTCACCGGCTAAGGTTCTGTCAAGGTGCCTGGTCTAAGAAGGAAGTTTATGTAGGGCCCACACTGTTAGCCAGAACCCCATGGAACAATTTGTTGGTGAGATAACTATCCTGTGCCTTAAGAGACATGCTGCTGGAGAACAAAGCAAGGTACATGCCTTATGCATCTTTCCGGCAAAGGAGAACAACCATTCTGGCAACAAACAGAACATTCTCGTGTCTACCATGGTATGAAAAACCTGCATATAAATTCAAAAAATCCTGACTATAAAATAACACACACACCTACACACATCCCTTACCAGTCATCAGATTCTGCCAATTTCACCGCCTACATCTTACTTCTCATAGTCCCCTCCCTGCGGTAGGCTTACATCTTTCAACTTAACTCACTACAATAGCTTTCCAAGGGTTCCCTCCAAAACTTTCATCTCCCTCACTCAATTTTTCCTTTACAAAAATGTGAGAGCGAGCTTATGAAGACCATGTCTAATTATGCCACTTCCCATCTCTGGTGGCTTTCTTTTGCCAGAAAAGCAAGTCTCAACTTCTTAGGTTGGCTTACTGGGACTTTCAAAATTGAATCCCAACCTCTCCTCCGTCCCACTGCCTTCTTTCCCCATGAATCACCCAGGGTTCAACTCATGTGTCTTCCTACTGGTCCCTCTGCCTATCACACTCTTCCTCATCCTGCTCTTCAGTGACCTTCAGTCACCCTTCAAGGTCAAGGTCAAAAGTTCCCATTTGGTAACACATGCCCCCTTCTCTATTGATATAATCATAGAACTAAGGAAATAGGATGCCTATATAAGAAGTACTTTGTTTAAATAATTAATGACCAAATGTTAATCTCACTATCATAATAGTTAGAAGAAATAGTCATTTTTCTGGCCCCTTCTTAAAGTCCTCACGTAATTTTCAACACTTAGGAATAAGTGCAGGGTAATTTTGCCTACAGCTAGTTCATAGCAAAGAGGAAAACCAGGTGCTTCCTGAGAAACTTGTGATAATTACACATTTCACTTTTTTTTTTATTTCAGAAACACCCTGGCAAAAGCTCAGAGTGAAGCTTTCCTCTAATGGCATGCATTTATGATAATCATGGCAAAAATTAGAAATGTCTCCTCAGGAAGCTCTGAGCCCCTTCAATTTGCAGCCAGACCTACCAGCAACCAAAGCTTTATCCTACCAAATTCTCGTCTTTCTCTATGCAGTGCTACTTCCGAGTAGCTTTCTCATGTTGGCACATAGGTATAAAAAGGGATGTGGCATTCCAGAACTGGGGAAGCAATGCAGTTTAGTAAAAAGAATAACTCGATAGGCAACTTGGATTCTAACTCGAATTTTATGGCTATCTCCTGAACCAGCTTTGGCCCAGGAATAGTAGATGAAGCATTTTATAAACACAAAAAAAGGAAATCGGTATGTCATTTCAGGCTTTGCTATTGTTATAACAAGAGGAGGAAACTGCAGACCTGGGTTTACATTAAGTAAACTGTAGTTTCCTTTGTACATGCTCTGTGCTATAGCTGCGTTTTCATGAGTAAGAGCAGATGACGGCTATTGAAAAGAAAACAAGGGCAGGAAAAATAAAAATGCTGCACCCACCACATGGACACTGTGAACTCAACGTGCAGGGCTTGATAATACTGAATGCTTAAGACAAAAACGAGTAATATAACCTACCAGATGGTTCTTATTACTAATAAACTACTATAAAAAGAATAAGCTTCTAGTATCAATAATCCTTTTAGTGGAGCACCCAAAGAATATCAGCCTTGAATATGAAAGCAACCTAAGGGCCTATCAATAGATGATTGGATAAAGAAGACGTGGTACCTGTATATAATGGAATATTACCTGGCCATAAAAAAGAATGAAATTTTACCATTTGCAACAGGTTGGATAGACCTAGAGGGTTTTATGCTAAATGAAATAAGTCAGACAGAGAAAGACAAGAACCATAGGATTTCACTTATATGTTGAATCTAAAGAACACTATAAACAAACAAAACAGTATCAGATTCAGAGATACAGAGAACAGACTGATGGTTGCCAGAGGGGAAGGGAATGGGGGGAGGAGGTGAAAAAGGTGAAGGGATTAAGAAGTACAAATAGGAAGTCTCAAAATAGTCATGGGAAAGTACAGCTTAGGGAATATAGTATAATAAATAATATTGTGATAACTATGTATGGTGCCAGGTATATGATTGTCTAAGTGTGTATATTAGTTTCACACCTGAATCTAATATAAAATAGCCTTGAATGTCAACTGTGATTGAAAAATTAAAAATAAAAACATTTAAAAATAAGGAAAAATAGCAATGAGAGCTGATTAGTTCAACTGGTGTCATCCTATAGGGAGGAGAGCACAGAATGCCTCCCTTTATATTCACCACCAAGGAGAAAAGCTCCTCGCCTTTCCTCGCTATCAGCTTCGATAGGAAAGGCCTCCAGAGAAAAGGCCTTAATTCCCATGTTTATTTAGACACCATCTTTGCTCCCAGAAGCACCAACACTTCAGCTGTTAGTGCATCCCTGTTGTGACCTCATGCGAGAAGTAAAAAAACAAAACAAAACACAGCAACAAAATAAACAAACACCTTTGTGTTCTATTTAACAATCTTAAAAATTAAAGTTTGAAGATGACAGAGTAGATGACATAAGCAGAGTTGCAAACCTCCTACCACTAAATTTCTATCTCAAAAATCTTTACCATGATTGGCACCAAGTTCATATTCCTATTATAACATATTTGGAGGGCATTCTGTTCTCAATAGCTCTAACTCTAGTATTCTGAATTGAACTAAATGTAAGTCATACACAACACGGGTACCTTTTAAATAAGGATAAAGTTGTTGGTGGCCTAAGGCTGATGATTCCTAACCTTGGTGAAGTGGTACTCTTCTGTTCCATTGAATTGAATATGTAATTGTTGTTCCATTGAATTGAATATGCAATGCATTGAAAAATATATTTTAGACTCATTTTAAGAGCCAGTTGGAAAGAAAAATGCCCACACCTAACTACAACATGCTTTTATGTTATCATTCATTAAGACTCGGCCTGATTTCAGAGATGATAAAAGGTGGGAGAGATGTGCATCTTGAAATCAATGAAATACGGCATATGAAAACTGTTGCTCTTTTAAGATTTATCAAAAGAAATACTGTTTTTGAGAAATTTAAGCCATGGGCTGGGGTATTCAAATATGCTAAGGATATGGGAGGGGTTAGGAGTCCGTCTTTGATGTTGTCAACCTTCAGGGGCGTTTAACAATGTAAACAAGTCCCTAAACTTTTCACTGGTGCCTAGCGAAGGGAAGGCTCCAGAGAGCTCCATTTGTCAAGTCAGAGAGTCACCCCCGAAACAGTTCAGCTATGAGGCTAGAGAACTGTGAGGGTTTTTGTCCCTTGCAACATGAACTGCTCTGATCTGAAGGGACACGGTGGGAGGTGTGGTTACTGCACTAACCAGCCTGCGATCTGGGAACAGGCTCCTCACCTGGCCTTGGTACGGACGGCCTTGGAGCAGAAAAGGCATGAGGTGCTTTTCCCCCTTGGAAAGGGTGGAAAACAAAATTCCAAGGAAAAACTAAAGTCAGAGAAAGACATGTTTCTAAGCACAGAGGAATGTTCCCTTCGTGAGCAGCCCTGGCTAGCTCGGCACGGAGAGTGAAGGCTTACAAACAACAGCAAAAGTCAACCGACAACAATGTGCAGCAGAAGAAAGTGGCTCCATTGTCTCCCGGCCATGAGGGCCGTGGTCTCGCTTCTGAGGCTCCATCTGAATGACTGCTTTCAGGGGACCCGGCACAGCGGCCCTTCCTCCAGCTTCACTACGTGCGAACAATATAACTCTTGTTGGAACACAAACATTCGTAAGACACTGGGAAAACTCCCTTCTGACTGTCCCGCTGGGTGAGAGCATCTATAATTGGTCCTTCTCGTCTTGTCTATTTCTAGGGACTTAGGATTACATTTGTTTGGTGGCTAGAACCACCCTTGTCCGAATCATGAAAAGTACACGTTCTTTCAAAAGTCCAAATTCCACAAACTTTCTGATGGGATGACATTCCCAAAGTCAAACGTGAAAGCCATCCAGTCAGGACCATACGTTGACATGCGTTCATCGCTGCTTCCATGTGTTCTTACATTTCTAAGCGATTTACTTTTGAGAAGCGTTCTCTTATAAACCCAGTGTCATACACCACTGGCCTGGAGCTGTCATTTTTACTAAGGAGGATGCTTTTGGGGTGGGGGTGGGGGTGGGCATCAAAAGTCAAAACTTAAGGAATTTGAAATAAAAAGTTCTTTCCTTCAAGCATACAACCAGGCAGAAACATCTCCCATCCTTTCAAACCTGCACCCGCAAGAGGAAGAGGGCTTACCTGTTCAGATTTGTCCTGTTCTTTTCTGTCCGTCTGCAAAAACTGACAGTTCTCCCGCGCCAGCTTCTGGACCAGCTCAATGCGCCCGATGTCCTCTCTTCCCTGAAGCTTGCACATCACCCCTGCCTTCAGAGTCGGAGAAAAGGCGAAGATGTACTTAAACCCGCAGTCCCAGGACATGACACCGCCGCAGGGTTCACCCTAATGCACGCTCATCTTCTCTGTCGCCCGGACCCAGTCATGGTCATGGTCACAGAGTCGGCCTTCCCCAGATTGGAACTGTCCAGTTTTAATCTAGGAACGCCGCTCCCGAAGTGCCACGGCGGAGTGCATGGACCGGGCTACATGAAGAGAGCGAGGGGCAGAGCAAACGGAATCATTTGCTGCTAACGTGTGCTCCTGATATGCCGCTATTTGTTCCTGACAGCCTGTTTCCTGTTACATAAGCAAAGCCCAGCAAGAAGGTTAAAAACTCATGGGAAAGTTAGCCAGGAACCACTCTGGCAAAAAGGGCGAAGTGATACAGAGTTCTAAAAATAACAGGACGCAGCCTCCTCATGTTTTAGCTCCAGCGGATCATGCCGTGCACAAATACACAATTAACAAGTTCACAAGGTTTAAAAAAAATGTTTTTTTTCCCATAACTGGAAAGTTACTACGGGTTATTATTAGCAGAAGATCTCTAATGTTGCATAAAATATAGTGGAAAAGTTTACTAAAAATAAGCTGGAGCCATGGTTTGTGTGGTTCAGGGGTTCAAGTGTCAGCCTGCACATGGAAGGGTCGCAGGCTCACTTTTTGGTCAAGGGCATGTACCTGGGTTGCAGGTTCGGTCTCCAGCACATGCGGGGCACATGCGGGAGGCAATCAATCCATGTGTCTCTCTCATATTGATGCCCCCCCTCTCTCACCCCTCTCTCTCCCCACCTTTTCCTCCCCTTCCTCCTCTCCTTCCCCCTCCCCCTCCCCTTCTTTCTCCCTCTCCCTCTCCCTCCTTCATATCCTCCCTTACTCTCTAAAAATCAATGGGATTAACAAAAACAAACAAATTTGAAATAAAGGGCTTAAAATTTCATCAGGGTTTGGAAATGATTCATAAAAAAATCGTATTTTTTGTTACACCAAAGTACCTGAGTAATAATAATATGGAGAAGAATCTAGGACTTTGATTAGACAAAAAAATGTTTGTTATAACACAGGTTATGAACTGTTTCTGCTCAAATTCTTTAAAAAAGGCTTCATACTGACATATCAAGACATGATCTAATAAAGAAATCTAAACAGCCCAAACTGGAATTTTTGTTTTACCCAATATAGCATTTAAATCAACTCAGCAACATAACCAAATATGGAAGAGGGGCCAGAACTGACCACAGTGCCACGGTCTTAACAGTTAGTGGTAAAGGCACCCATTTTGTTGAGTGGGCATCAGAGAAATGAGACCACACACGCCAAGCGATGGCTAAATCTTTACTCACAGGGGCAAGGACATCTGCTTATCTGGCAGGTTCTCTGACAACTAGGAAGGAAACAAAAAAAGTCCACGAAGTGGCCTGAATCACCAACTCCCAGAGGTCAGCAAGTGGAATTCCTTCACCCAAGTCCGAGATTTATATTTACAACATCCTCAGAAGAGGTATTCCACTTCCTGTCTAAGGTTGGACAGACATCTGTTTATCTCAGGGCAGCCTGTGTACTTTGGAGAGTCAGAGTTCATGGAAAGTCCCCTTTACACTGGACAAAATTCTTAAACCTCTGAACTTCAACCCATTTAAGCAACTGAAACTCTTTCTTTTCTTTCTTTCTTTCTTTCTTTCTTTCTTTCTTTCTTTCTTTCTTTCTTTCTAATAAATCTTTATTGCTCATATTATTACAATTGTTTCTCCTTCCCCTCCCCCCATAGTTCCCCTCCACCTGGTTCTCATTCCACCCTCTGCCCTTATGTCCCCCCCGTCCCCTGTTGTCCTCATCCATAGGTATATGACTTTTGTCCAGTCTCTTCCCATACCCCCTACACAGACACCCCTTTCCCCCTGAGAATTATCAATCCCCTACCATTCTATGCCCCTGATTCTATTATATTCACCAGGTTATTCTGTTCCTCAGATTTTTAATTCACTTGACTTTTAGATGCACTTGTTGATAGATATGTATTTGTTGTTCATAATTTTTATCTTTACGTTTTTTCTTCTTTTTCCTCTTTTTAAAGAACACCTTTTAGCATTTCATATAATATCAGAAAAAGCTAAAGGAGTACATCACCACCAAACTAGTATTATAGGAAACTCTATTTCTTATTCAATATGACAATCTTTCAAATATTTAACTACCCATATTTATAATAGCCTCCTTTTAGCAACACACACACATACTATTCATTAACTTGCTTTTTCATTCACTCTTGCAATAAATTTTTAACATATTTTATTGATTTTTTTTTTTACAAAGAGGAAGGGAGAGGGATAGAGAGCTAGAAACATCAATGAGAGATCGATCAGCTGCCTCTTGAACACCTCCTACTGGGGATGTGTTCACAACCAAGGTACATGCCCTTGACTGGAATCGAATCTGGGACCCTTCAGTCTGCGGGCTGATGCTCTATCCACTGAGCCAAACCAGTTAGGTCTTGCAATAGATTTTATTTGAGAAACAATCATGTGTCAAGGTCGACCATAGGTTCCTGGGATATAGTAGTGAACAACTACTCAGAGAAATTTCTACACCAAAATGACGAACATTATTTAAATGTTTTGACATTTAAATGATTAAGTTTCTCTTATCTAGAAAGTTCATTTATGTCGACCATCTGTGATTTCTTCTCTTTCCACCCCTGTCATCCTAAGTTGTAAATACTGTCCTGATAGTGGAGAGAGCAGGCTAGTGACCTCGCATCTCAGGCCTTGCACCCTGGGTGTTTGTTCAGTAGAGTGAGGGGTTAGTCCTCGTCCCTCTGCTCCTAGTGGGTAAGAGACTGAAGGGCACACGTGGGGATGGGGCAGGCTGGGGTGGTGCACAGGAGAAAGCACCACAGAGCCATCTCATTTGGCAGTGGGAACGAGCCTGTTACCTCTTCTCACCAGCACAGGCTCACCAGCAACCAGACTAAGTTCCCCGAGACTACAATTTGAAGAGAGAATCTTTCCTTCAGTGTGTGGGTCCCTTATAATATCATCAACGAGAAAAGGGTGCGACTGAGTGAAGGAAATTTAAGAAACCTTGACTATTTGGGGGTTTTCTGTGTCACATGAGTTTTTAAGGAACTCGAGCCATTCTTCATATATTATATATCATGTGCTTAGGATTCCAGGTACCGACTTTGCTTTCTTAAGGAAATACATGTTTATTAGAACCTGATACTTGGGTGCACACATTATGTATTTTAAACACGAAATGCTGTTACTTAAAAAAAAAATGGGTTTCAGATTGACTTAATTATTTTATATTGATAATTAAGTCATCAGATGATTTAAAAAGGAATACTGTTGTCTTGATTTCTGGTTTCCACCTCATTCCCAGGTGCATTTTCAGAAGATAATCAGTTCTAAGCAATCCTTACATAACACGTATTATCAAAAGAGGCTTCTTCATCCCCCGGGGAACTTTTAGCCCAGAGCGATGGCCACACATCCTCTATCATTCTGAAAGGTGGCTGGCTCTCTTTGGAAGTACCACACTGAGCTGGATGTTTTCTAGAGCTCCCTTTCAAAGCTCCATAATTTAGTGATCTGATTCCACAAACCTCTGACTTTATTAATACACTTTAAGAACTTTGCTCTGGCAGGAGAAGCAAGACAACTAACAGCTTTTGCTCTAGACTTTCGCATACCGGGACTACTTGATTTATTTATGTGAAATTAATTATAAACAGTTTACCTAACACTATTGGGCCAGAAAAAAATTAATGTGTAAGGGTCAGAAGAGTTATTGAAGAGCCTCATTTCAAGGTCTGCTTTGGAAAAACAAATCTGTGTAATGTATAATTAAAGCAATTCATGATTTTCAATATTTGAGAAGAGAAATGTTAGGAATGTAAGTGAAACGTCTGATTCCTTTATAAATGGAGTCATAAGAATGTTGGGCTCATTTTTCAGTGGCAAAATGAAACTTGGACAGGATTCCCTTAGGAACAGCTATGATGATAAATGAATAACCTTTATGACAAAGGTAAAAGAACACAGTTTATGTGTTCTACATTACTGTACTTTTAAAAATCACTTAGAAAAAACAGCATGCAAAAACTGCCATCCAGAGAAAATCAGGATGGAAGAGTTCATCTCCCATGAAGCACGTTAACAATTACAGAATGTGATTCCATACAAACCTAGGAATTCTTATCAATTATTATGTAATAAATTCATTTCTCTAAAAATTAAATCATGAATTGAATTTCATAAAAAACGAATAATTTTTTTTCATAAAAAAACTTTTTGCTTTTCTACACAAATGGCAGATGATGCAAATGGCAGAATAAAACACTGATGGGCTGGGATGATATACTACATCACTCAATTGTCTGTATGTATGGTATTTGCAACACAGAAAATATTAAGAATTCTTTCCAGGAAAATTTAGAAGACAATTAATAATAATAAGTAACATTATTACTTATATGTTATTAGTCATATATTTCTTCAGAGAAAAGAAGAAAACTAAGGAAAATTTCTTCCTGATTGGGGTAGGAGAACGTCCTCTTTGATAATTGGGAAGGGCCAAGGAGCATTCAGAGTGAACCTGCATTTGAGAGGAAGTGTGCTGGCAAAGGCGGGTTCGAAATGCCCAGAGCATCCCTAGGACAGGCCTGGACCACCATACTGTGCATCTCAGGGCCTCAGAAATCATCTAGTGCCTCCCAGGCCTTCACGGTACAGGTGAGGCAAAGTAAGTCTAGGGTGGGCCATTCCTCTGGTCCTCTTCTTTTGTGGAATTACTGGTGTTAACACAGCACGCCGAGTGGAGAGACCCATCCTATACAAACACTATGTGATACTACGGCCTGTAAGAGCATGCAGGAATCAGGGGAGAAGGCCAAAACCATGGTTACATGGAATTTGTTACTGTGATTTCCCTCAAATATTTTCTTAATGTAATATACTCGTATAATTTTCTCTTCTGATGAAATTAAATATATTATACTAGAAATTTGTGCACTGGGCCTCTAGTATAATATATTTAGGGTCCCTAGACCTGGCCGGTGGCATCTTCACATATATATATATATATAGGTATTTACATAACTGACAAAGCAAGGGGTTCACTTATTACATATATTTGGTTCCTTCTTGAACTTTCAGACTAGAATAGGGAAGTCACCAATATTTTATCTTGCGTTGATGTGAAAGTACAGCTCAGATCTGTATATATTATTGACCATACAGCTAAGCTGCTAAGCAGGGCAGCAAAGTTGACAGATAACAAAGAACTAAAAAAAAAACCAAACAACAAAAAAAAAAAACCACACAGAATAAGCAAATTCTAATAAATTCTAATCTAGAGGATTTAAAAGATCACCTATTTTCTATAGTACCTAGCACAGTAGATCCCCTGGGAACACCCCTTTTGTGTTCTCATATATAATAAAATCTAACATTGGCTTAGCTATTTCACATACTGTTCTCTTTAATACTCACAACTGTCCTATCAGGTAGGTTTATGGGTGAATAATCTAAAATTCAAAAGGGTTAAGACCCTAGCTTAAGGTAGCTAGCTATTGAGCCGCATCAGATAATGCTATAGCTGGGTGTTGAGGGCAGTGGAATTCTGAGGAGTAGATTGAATTATTGGGGACTTGCAAAAACTGTCTTTATATTGGAGACTTACAGAAGAGTCACCTGTTCTGCTTCTCTTCCCGCTGTCCCCACTAAAGCCCTTTAAATGCCACACATTACATGATGTGACTATTTTTCCAAAACACAAAACCTGCACTCTCTCATCTCTCTCAACACAAAGAAAGGGGCCCTCAAGGGCTGTCCCGGGACTGGTCCTACCTGAGGATCTGGATCACTGTCAGCTTCTGCCGTGGGTATGTGCTTGTCACTGCTCTCCTCGTCTTGTTCAATTGCTTAAATAAATAAAAAAGAACCATATTAAACACATGCAGCATCCTCAGAAAATTCCATCAAATCATTTTCTGGTAGCAATTTGACAGGGAAAAAATAATAGGTAGATTCACAACATGTTAAGTATTGGTACTATTACTTGAATAGAAAGTTAAATCGGTGGAACTGGTCACTTTTCTATACATCTCATTTGTCAAGTCAAGGGCAATGGGAAACTTTGATCTCATTCTCCTTTTCACCAAAACCTAACAAGCAAGGCATCATCATGTCAGTTTCATTCTTCACCCAAAGGGGAGTTGGGGTGTATATGAAGGCTTTTATCAAGTCCACATGAGAACGTCATGTTAAAGTGATTTCTTTTTTTGCTAAGAGTTTAGTATTATATAATGAAAGAAGCACAATATTGTATATTTGGGTTGCTCAATCACGGTGACCACAAAATTCTGATCCGTGAAGCCTTGAGTCCACCTCATCTCCCACATTCCCCCAGCATCTCCCTATCCAAGTCCTCAGCTCCCTTTCTGTGCTGGTGCAATAGGCTCTGACCACAAAGCCCCTGCTTCCAGCCTCTTCCTAACTCAGTCCAGTGGCAAAGGTGGGGTGGGGGTGGGGAATGGGGGGGGGGAGAAACAATACCTGCTAAAACAATCAATCTAAAAAAATGTAACAAGTGCCATGTTTTGGCCTATTATTGCTTAACTTATTGAGTCCGAACTCTGTTCATCATTGGAGGTCTACCTTGAACTCTCTAGCTTCCTCCTAATTTCCAACTTCACCCTGACATTCAACACCAAAACATATGGTACCCAACTCTGATGCAGGCACAGTGATTTCATTATTTTTCTCCTTATATAGCTTGCTCTTCCATTTTAACCAATATTTGTTGAGCATCTATAATATGCCTGGCACTGGGTTATTCCCTGTGAACAAGACAGATACACTTCTGACCTCATGAAGTACACACACTAGCTGGGGAGACACCCAATGAGCAATAACCACTACTACAACTAATAATAGCAATAGCAACAATAATTGTAAAAAATTAAAGATCATGATAAATGGCGGAATGACAGAAAACCATGTGGGAGAGGTCATCTGGAGAGGAGGTGGGTGGGAGGCGGGGTGCTTCTCAAAAGAAGTAACATTTGGGGTGAGACCTGAAGGCTGAGATGGAGCCACCCATGGCAGGGGTGAGTGATGGGATGAGACAATCCTGGAGAGTGCAGACCACAGCAGATTCAGACTCTAGCCTGAGGACGAGGAGAAGCACTAAGAAGTTTAACATTGGGAATTGCATGATTGGATGTATTTTTTTCAAAAGTACTTTTTGCCTTCTTTGTGGAGAACAGACTTACAAGAGTCAAGATATGAAGGAGGCAGAGAGACCCGTTAGGTGACTGTGCTCCCATCCTGGCTGGAGAGGACATAGGCTCAGGCCAGAGAGGGGCAAGGAGCTGAAGAAACACGGAGGATTTGAGTTGTATTTTTAGACAAAATGGACACGATTTGCCAATGATTTGATTATGGGGGTGGTGGGTGGGAGGGAGGAGAAACAAGCAAGGATGACTCCTAAGTAGAATGAGTTATTGCTCATATCCATCATACCATTCATTTTTTTTGTCCACTCCATCAAAAGCAGACCCGTAAAAAGCCCACCCAGACCAAAAACATACCAACCCTGCTGACAGTGAGGTCACCCCCTATACTTCCAGATTCAGTCTTTGCATTGTTTTATATACTTTTAAATATGATGCTTTCTGTTCTGTATTTCTAAAAATATCATCTCATGTACTTTTTGCTTTTGCATGTCTCTTATGCCCGCCTAAACGCCGTGTACACAGGATGTGCTCTGTCACTACTGCTGGGATGAACAATTCCTCCCCAAGTGACCAAAATGGCACGGCTTGACTACACCTACTTATGTAAGTCCTGCCTTTCATACCTATTTATGAAAAAAGCAGAGGGAAATTCTGTTGAACTCTGTGGATACCTAGGGTAACTCCTACCAGCTGAGCATCAAAAGGCATGAACAGTGAATGTGGGCAGAAGCTATTCGGTTTCCAGCAAAAAGTTCCATTCATGCTCATTCAAAGGCCTCCTATTGCTACTGTGGTCTGATTAGGAGGAAACTTAAGAATAAAGAAAAACATGTTTTCTCTGCAAAACTGTAGGAAAATACAAAGGAAAATATAAAATATAGACTAACATCCTAAAATCCACTTAAAAATGCAATGGGCTGGAGAAGTAAGGAACTCTACCTAGCTAATTGAATTAGTATAAGAATTCTTTCCTCATCCCATAATGGGGAGTAGTTTTCTTGGGGGGGGGGGCAATCTGATACTATACCCATGTGAGACAACTTCATCCACAGGAAGTACCAAGAATATCATGGCATAATTAATCTATGCTTCATTTGAATTTTTGTTCATTCAAGTTTAAGTGTCAATGAAAGTGAAGAAAATTAATTTTTGGATCTTTTGTAACCTATTAAGTTTATGTTTTTAAAACAACAATGCTTTGGGGTAGAGGCATTTCTTTTCCTTACCTTATTATACTAAGAAATAGGACATGTAGAACAATGGTAACGTCAGAATTGAGAGTTAACACTACTTTCTGAGGGTTTTTTTTTGTGTGTTTTTTAAAAATATATTTTATTGATTTTGTACAGAGAGGAAGAGAGAGAGATAGAGAGTTAGAAACATCAATGAGAGAGTCATTGATCAGCTGCCTCTTGCACACCACCTACTGGGGATATGCCCGCAAACAAGGTACATGCCCTTGACCGGAATCAAACCGGGGACTTTTCAGTCCCCAAGCCAACGCCCTATCCATTGAGCCAAACCGGTTTCGGCTACTTTTTGAGTTTTAAGGCAAAATTATTTTGTTAGTCCTCACCTGAGGATATTTTTTCCATTGAATTTTTTAGAGAGTGGAAGGAAGGAAAGGATGGAATGGAAAGAGAGAGAGAGAGAGACAGACAGACAGACAGACAGACATGGACTGGTTGCCTCCTGCATGCACTCCAACTGAGGGCAGAAAGTGAGGAGTGAACTTGCAACCCAGGTATGTGATGCGCCCTTGACCGAGAATCGAATTCATGATCCTTTGGTGCCCTGGCCAATGCTCTAACCACTGAGAAACACCAACTAGAGCTAGGCCAAATTCACAATTCACATAAAGAGACTCAAAGGGAAAGAGATTAGCACAAAAGCATATTTGGGAGGGAAATCCAGTCCTAGAGTTCTAGCTTCTCCCCACTAACAGTGCTGCATTCTTTTTGGTCACATCTTTGAAGACATCAGTATCTGTTGCCCTGCATTACGCTTTGCTTAACAGAGCAAAACATCAGACACACAAGCAAGCTAAGGGACTTGGCAAAGGAAACTGAGCAGTGGATCTCACTCGGCATCGCAGAGGGGCTCTCCGAGGGCTGGGGGACGCTCACCACAGCACCTTCATCGTGAAGAAAAGAGCCCAGTCTCTTCCAACACCGAGAAAACATCCTTTTATTGGAAATACTAAAAAAATTATGACTCCCAAAATGCATTTTAGCCAGTGGTTCATATCTACTAGTTGAGAACAAAAACTCAATTTATAGTGGCCTTTTTAAGGATCTATGATTTCCCCCAGGAAGTCTCACGTATGAAATACACAGTCAGCCAAAAGGGAGTGCTCTATGACCCTTTTGGATGAAGATTAATGTGTAGGAATAACGAAGGAGGCAGTTTCTCTCTCCATGTCTCCTACTGGTGCGGCAGCTCACGGCTGGGAGGAGGAGGAAGCAGTTATTTAGATTTCTGAGCCCAGTTTTCTTCTTTTATCTGATCAGAATAAGAGTGGGCTGGGAGAGCTTCCTCTGCAAATATTGATTCTGGGACAGCTCCCTCCAGGGTATCACGTACACACGGGAATGACAGCTCCCGGGACCAGGGAGGCTCAGAGCCTAACTCTGCCAACACAAACCGTTTCCTTATCTCTCAACACACAGAGTCTAAAAGCAAGAAAAGGCCTTTGAAAATAACTCACCACAACAAAAGTCAAAAGCACAAGATCAACAAGCATATATTAGTGTTTTGATCAGCGAACGTGAGAGCCCACATGAGAACTAAGAGTGTATGTGGATTAATTAGCTCTAACTCACCGAAGAGCGCTTAGCTTAAATGCCATGGGACAACTGACAGCCTCCAAGAACTGAAGGGCTCACCTGATATCACTTTCCTGTTGCCTTGAGGACAACAGGTATTTTCTCCCTTCCACTTATGAGAGCAATTGCTAAGAAAACTCTCCTAATAACCCCACTAATAACATTAGTTTAACGCGAAGGGGATTGATGTCCTTTCAAAATGATGCTTATTTCATTTCTGCTGATCAACTTTGTACAAGTAAGAGGCACACTAACAATGAGACACATCCCGGGGGGTGGGGGTGTGTGCAAGAGGCAACTGATCGATGTTTCTCTCTCATCAATGTTTCTAACTCTCTATCCCTCTCCCTTCCTCTCTGTAAAAAATCAATATATTTAAAATAAATAAATAGCCGAGACCGGTTTGGCTCAATGGATAGAGCGTCGGCTTGGGGACTGAAGGGTCCCGGGTTCGATTCCGGTCAAGGGCATGTACCTTGGTTGCGGGCACATCCCCGGTAGGGGGTGTGCAAGAGGCAGCTGATCGATGACTCTCTCTCATCGATGTTTCTAACTCTCTATCTCTCTCCCTTCCTCTCTGTACAAAATCAATAAAATATATTTTAAAAAAAATAAATAAATAAATAAATAAATAAATAAATAAATAAATCACTGGGGTGAGTACAGTTGTTAACAATTGAAATTATTATTTTCAAGATCAACCAAAATTATTATTATTATTATTATTATTATTATTATTATTTTTAATTTACAAACGAACCAACATTTCCTCAACAAACAGATAGCTAGCATTTCGAGTCTCAATGTGAGAAACCAGCAAACATAGTTAGGACAAATAATTGTTGAGTATTTTGCCAA